AAAAAAAAAAAGATGTGGTATTTTTATATACAATGGAGTATTACTCAGCTATAAAGAAAGGTAAACTCGAGGCTTTTATAGGTAAATGGATGCAATTAGAGACCACATTCATAAGTGAAATAAATCAGACTCACATGTGTGAACATTGTCTTGTCTCCCTAGTGTAAGAAACTAAAAGAGTAAATAAGATCCAAGAAACTGCTCAAATGGAAAGAACAACTGGGATGGGGGAAAGGAGAAAAGAAGGAAGGGAAAAAAATATATATACACATGCAAGATAGCTAAAATAATATACTACTAATTTCTATTAGTTTATTGAAAGGAACATTTAGTGCTTACCTTGCTTGATCAATTTTATATGCCTATATCTGGTAATCTGAGTAATTACTTTGAAGATAACAATATGCAATAGAACAACATTGTTAATTTCCTGTCATCCTGTTTTGAAATTCTGTACCATTTTTAGTGTTTTTTTATTCTGTTTAAAAAAAAAAAAAAGGAATGCAATGCAATAAAAAAAATGGGCAAAATATTTGAACAGATGTACCAACAAAGATATACAGGTGGCAAATAAGCACATGAAAATACGTTCAACATCACTAGGCGCTAGAGAACAAGAGTCAAAACCACCATGAGAGGCCACCACATAATTACTACAAAAGCTAAAAAACATTTTTCGAAAAACAGTGATAACACCAAGTACTGGGAGGCTGTGGAGTAATGGAAACACTCATATCTGCAGAGAACGCAAAGTGGTATAGACACACAGACACCGCACTCAGGTACAAACTACCCGTAACTGCGAACATAGTAATTAACCAACTGCCTGAGTAACATGCTTGCAACGTCTGTACAACAGAATGCTGCAGCAGAGGAGGGACAGCCTTCTGCCACGTGCAGCAGTACAGAGGAATCCCAAATGCCTTTCCCAAATCCCAAATCCCAAATTCCATTCTAACAGCATCTGGAAAAAGTACAACTATAAGGACAGGAAACAGGTTAATGGTCAGTGAAAAAGAAGTGATATAGATACCACGTCAGCGTAGTGTGGTGTGGGTGTGCTCTGTGTGTGAGCAGAGACAAACAGACAGAGGAAAGAATGTGACTGAGCGAGACCTCTGTCTGAGCCTTAGGCCGACAAGACTCCAGCGCCCATGGAAAGTTGCATGGTATCAGGTAATTTCAGTGACTATAGCCCACCATAAGTCAGCCTGGCCTTAAACAAACATCCCACAATTCTGAGTGCCAGGACACAGGGCTCTTACAAGAGCTAAGTGAGCAGATGTATACAAAGCACTCAGACAAAGTCCTAGACACAGGAAGTATTCACTACTTGCTGTCATCTCCCACGAAAACTAAGGGTCCCAGGAAGTCCAGTTGTTCTCTTTTCATCCCCAACAAAGTGACTGATTTTACTATTTCAAGCATGAAATAGGACCACACACATACCAATATACCTTAAGCTAATTTAAAACTCAAAGTTATTTGGTTGAAATTTTTTGGAATCCACTAATTTGTGGATTTTTTGGAATCCGTAAAATCCCAATTGTTGGTTACTGGCTAAGGATAACTTCAACAAACTTTGCTTTTATCCTATTTATCAAAGGCCTCTTTTGCCCATGGTTTGGTCTGGTTCAGATTCTGGATAATCTGAATGAATAAATGCAAAGAGGTTTGAGATTTTACCTTCAAATCTGTCATGGCTTTTCTAGAGACACACAATCGGCAGAGCTGTGACACTGACCAGTGGAAAATGTGGGCGTCCTGAAGGTCCAAGAACAATCGCTCAGCCTTATATAATGATGTATCCTAGAGTCTTCTCTCAAATCCCACACAACTACAGAGCCATGCACAGTTCCGGCAAACAGCAGATATGCTTTAAAAGGGCTAAAGCTGCAACACGTGACCTGGAAAGACAAACACAGCAGACAAGTGGAGTGGGTAAGGCTGTGCTCACAGAAGCGAAGCTCACGCTACAGCATGAGGCATTTTTCACTCTACCCTAACGGATGCTCTTCCTCCAGGAAGCTGTGGGGTGAAAGGAGTAGAACACACATAAATCAAACCTCTTAACTTGTCTGAGTGCTAGTTTCCTCAAATGGAAAGGAGGGATAACAAATCCACTCTGCAGGATTGTTGTGGTCACAAACTGTCTCGCACACATGTGAGTATACAAAATGCTGCATTATCCCTCTGTTCATCTCTAAGGTGAAAATTGCATCCTCTGTCGTTTTATTTATATCTTGCATTGGAAAAAGTTTTTATTTTCAAGCCCCTAAAACTAGCACCAATTCAAGTTCTCTGTGGCTTTGAGAGAAGCAATGGTATTGAGGTGTAAATGTAAATGGGTGTTTCCCCAATCAAGTGGAAGAAACACGAAGGGCATCTCTCCCAAGGGACCTTCCAGAAACCCCAGGCTGGAGACACACAAAGTGGTGGTGAGGTGCTCTGAGTATGTCGGAGGACATTTCAAACCCTTCCAAGTAATTGCACGGATTTCCAGAAATTTTCAAAATATCCAGGACACAAACAATGCAAGCCAGAAAAGGACACTTCTGGATCCAAGAGCTACGCTCAGGTAGGACGCTCTTTTTATTAGGCCTATAACTACATTCACTTTCTTTTCTCATCTGCCCCATGATAATCTCAGTCCAAATTGATCCTTTGAACCAAGAATTTCTAGAGTCAATGCAAACACACCCACGCATCTTGCCACGCCTGCAGTCCAGCTGAGGCAGCCGTGAGACAGCCGGCCTTCACTACCTTACTGTGCTCCGCTGTCCCCGTGCTCTCTCTGTGCCTCTGCTGTCTGCCCACCTCCTCTCCCCTCAGCAACCCACACTTGTCTGCCTGAGTGTACCTTGGACTCACATATCAGGACCTTCTGGGGCCCTGAGGGCTGCCAAATATCCCAAATGCAGAGGATATATCTGAGGTCCAGGGGCTGGGCAAATGCCTTTCCAGGTAAATCATGGACTGAGACCATCATCTGTCTCTGAACTTGAGAGGCGTGCAAGCAGGATACTTTCCGGTCTGGGGATAAGATAAGAAAAATGTTTTTGCGTTTTAGCAATCTACCAGATGCTGTATAAAATTAACACGTCAGGACACTCAAATTTCAAGTTAATGAGGAGACAAACCTGATCCTTCCAAAACTGAAACAATGAAACTCAGGTTCAATGCAGGGTCACAGCCTGTACCTGGGCACTCTGTTCAAGCCAATGCTGGGGTTTGCTGAAGAAAAATCAGCTTTGGTGTCACGCAGTCTGGGCAGGGTGCTTCTTCCTGTCTTCCAGTAACTCTCAGGGAACCAGGTGACCCGTGCCCAGGCTGGGGCAGAACCTCAGGGAAGGTGATACTGGGGATGGCCAGAAGCAGCCCTCTGCTCAGCACAGTGTTAAGACGCTACTACTGGGACCCTCAAAGCTCTTTACCCTTCAGGGTACCAGGTGGCAAGCTGCTCTGTTCCAGTGCTGGGGACAGGTGAGCTTCATCTAGACATGACTCGGGTCCAGTGACTGACAGCTGCCACAAATCAGCAGAAGGTACAGATAGCAGTGAGGAAATAGAAGGATATTAACAAGAGTCTAGTGAGAACTTTATAGTCAAAGGGGAACTAGACAATACTGCTGGGAGGTACTTGGTGCACACAGAAAACTGCACAGGATCACAAAGCACAAACACCCACCAGCTCCTCAGCTCACTGCATGGGCAATCCTCTCCTTCCACACCCAGGGGCAAACATACCCTCTTCCACTCACACCACAGCCTCAGGGACCCTCCAAAGCAAACTTCATTTCCCTAGGGAAGGGCCACAGAAGTTTGTGCTTCTTAACCACCTAACATGAGCAAAGCTACCATTTGTACCACCTTCCTATTCTCTTGTGACACTGACAAAGTACTTTGAGTGCTAGGCCCTGACCCCATTTCCCCATTAATCCTGTGCTTTTTACTGGAAATTTTCCACAGTGCGGTGATTCTTAGGAACACAGGTACCATGTTTTAGCAGACCTGACTTTTGGAAGACCAGCAGGAGCTCAGACCTGCTGTCCCCACCCTAACCTCATCTTCCGTGGGTCACCCTGGCTCCACGAGACACAGGATCATGCTCTCTGAAGGAAGCTCCCCAATCTCTTCAGAATCCACTTTCTCATCTGCCTCTGGTTGTTACCCACTACAAGGCCTTCTATACTGGATGCTGTCATTTTTCTCCTTAGCACTTATCCCTTTCTAATTTATCACAGACTTCACTTATTTAGCCAGTTAGTAGCTTATTTGACCCACCAAAATAAAAGTCCCAGAAGGCCAAGGTTTCTGCCTGTCCTATTCAGTGGTGCCTAGGATGTAGAAGACTCCATATGTGGAATAAATGAATGAGCGCACAGACCATCACAGGTAAGCCTGCTGTGACACGTTCTGACAATGATGACGGTGATGAGCAGGTTCTGTGAAGGCTGAAGTGTAGCTGTGCCCAAGCAAAGATCAGGACATTATGTGAGTCAAGTGGTAAGTTCACAAATGTTCACAAAATTTGCTCTGCGATCTCCCCTTCTTCCCTAACCTCATTTTCCTTCTGTTATTTCAATGTTTATTTTACTAAAACACAAAGGTAAGCAAGTAGAAAAACCTCTACTCTTTTCACATGTGGTTAGTCTCTTAGGAACAAACATACATGAATTTTTGCAGGACTCTAGAGATATGTATACTAACATTTTTGGTATCTGATGCCATTCTACTCTGCTCCTTGAGATTAGAGATCTTCCCTTCTGTTTCTTTGTGTGTGGGTTACAGGGGTGGTCGGTATGTTAAATGCTACGCACACAGTGGTTTACTATTTTTCTAACAGGACAACTCTTTTCTGTAAGATAAAATATTTTTAAAGAGTGTGAAGATTTACAGTAACAATGACATTTTTTATGATGTTAAAAGACAGAGTAACATGCATTAAGATGTCTCTAAATATAGGTATGATAGAAGAAATGCCTAGAACAAGTACCATGGAGGGCTCTGGCTTCACACATCCCGGGAGAAATCTGCACCCTCACCTGTAGAAGAGACGTGGATTTTGGGACTGGCCCCTCCCTTCCTGTCATGTTTTCACACACACCAGTGCCGTAAGGGCCACACTCTACCTTGCTAGCCACTTTTCTCAAAGGCCAATATGTTATTTTTAGTTAAAGAAATTTTGATCTTATAAACATAGTTTTTAAACTAATTTACATAATTACAAGCATTCTTTATGTTAAATAGCATGCTTCATTTACCATTTTCTGCTCTGTAACCACAGATAAACTTAAAAAATCTAAGTACATTGATGTTAAACATGAAGCACCCTCCTCATGGTTAACTAATGAGACCACTTTGATGTAATCCCTCCTGTGCTGCTCCATTTCCTCTGCTCTGTGTCAAGAGATCAAAGCAGCTGAGTGACTGCAAGCAAAAAGATTATAGGACTTAAAACAAACATAGACAACTTCGGTTTTCTGCATTTAAATAATTTCACTAATTTAAACTACTGTTGGTCCTCTTCTAATCAACTTAGGAAAAGTTCTAATCAAAAATTTAACATATTAAAAAGACCTGACCACCCACTTTTCAGTTCTGCAGAAACTGGGTCTTTCTGATTTGTATACAGTAAACCACATCACATTAAATTAGAATGCAATATCAAAGTTACTATTTCAACATAAATGCCCAGGAATCAGAATCCAAGCCACGTTTCAGAAAGGCCACTTACTCTGAAGGAATGGCAGGCCAGTATCCAACCGGCAGGCGCTATCACTGATCAGCAAGGTGCTGTCTTGCTCCCTGGGACTACAGGTGGGTTCAGCGGCCAAACGGTCCTCTTCAAGCAAAACAGCAATCACCTTTCCAAGACAAGCGAGTACTCTTTTTGAAAATACTGTAAATTACAATGAGTCGTCTTGTCTTTTTAAAAAAATCACCTTTTCATCTTCTCCACTTCTACAAATAAATGCTTGGCACCACATTATACAAACTTTAAAAATGTGTAATTCTTTCTGAATAATAATATAAACTAAGTTGGGTGTGGTGGCACACACCTGTTATCCCAGCACTCGGGAAGCTGAGGCAGGAGGATTGACATGAGTTCAAGGCCAGCCTGGGCTATAAAGTGAGTTCAAGACCAGCCTGAACTACACAGCAATACTCTCTATCAAATAATGATAATAATAATAGAAAATAACAGAAAAGAGACAGTTAAGATAAATGCTGGGAGATTTTTCCTACCAGATATATTGCTGAAAATCACAGAGGAAGAGAAAGGGCTGAATACCAAACGCCAATGAATGAACACAGTGCCATAGACAAACATCGGATAACCACTACACTCTTTCCCCTTGGACAGAGTCAGTGTTTGTTGTGGCTTATACTGTATCTAGAGGTCCCCCAAAGCCTCATGCACTCATAGATGGGGCTTTGGGTAGGTGGCTGGATTACGGACGTATGATGACTGGATCAGTCCACTGATTGGTTTAGCATGGTTCTGGTTGTGGCTAATGGGAAGGCCCAACAACAGGCTTGTAGTCTGGATGGAAAGGAGGAAGGTGCTGCTGCTGTGTCCTCCTCTGCTGCCGTGGAATGTTTCTCCTCTGCCATGGCCCCCTGCAATGCTGCCCTACCTTAGAGCCAGCCGACTGTGGACTGAAACTGCTACAAACTGTGACCTGAAATAAGCCTCTCCCCTTTTAACTTGTGGTTGTTTGGTGTTTTGTTCCAACAGTGAGAAAGTAACCAAGACAGTGTTAAATCATTACAACTGTAATAAAGGGCTCATCTCCTTAGGGCATGCAGGAGAAAGGGACAGGACCTGAAGACTGGCAGTAATGGTGAGAGGCAAGTGGGGCAAGTCGGTACGGACTGACAGGAAGGGTGTTAAGGAAGACTGGAGTAAAGAACGAGTGTTGGACTGTGAAGTCAGGGGTGGCCCCAGGCTGACCAATTGCTCTCTACATTTCATTTGCTATCCACCCCCTCTTCCCTCTTCCCATGTCACTGTTCCCAACTGGTATCTTTTCCTAGTTCCCAAGAAGTTTATACTAACACAGAATCTGAGGATGAAAAATTCTGTGAAGGATAATCATGTTTCTAAACCACAGATTCCTATACAGAAATGGCACTGAGACAAAGTGACTACCAGGTATTCAGAGCTAACTCTGATAAACAGGCTTCATACAAGCCTAACTCTGACAAATAAGCTCAACACAGCCATGTCATGGTTTAACAATGTTATGCTGTGTATTTCAGCTCTATATTTAAATTTGGAAATTTAATTTTCAAATTTATTTTCCAAATTTGGAAATTTTTCTTTTTTCAAAAGAAAAACTTTTGAGATAACAGGAAATTTCAATATCAATTCATATTTTAATTGAATTAAATTTCAATATCAATTCAATATCAGTTCATATTTTAATATATTAGAAATCATTAGTAATAATGATTCTATACATTTACACAGTATACTTATGGAGGAAAAGTTATGATGATTGGGATAAATTTCAAAATAATCGATCACATGGATGTGGCTGGGGGATGTGGGGAAGGTGTCAAACAAGACTGGTTATAAGGTGATAACTGCTGAAGTACATGAGCGTTCACAAGACTATTTCCTTCATCTTTGTATGTATTTGAAAGTTTCTTTTTTTTTTATTTTAAAGAATAAAAGAAGGATAGCATAA